CCCCCGGCTGGGGCTCGGCTCTCCCCCCGGCGGCCGGGGGGAGGGCGCGGGGGGGAGGGCGGCGAGCCCGGCTGTGGCCCCGCTCTCCCCGGCGGCCGGAGCGCCGTGCCGCCCCCCTCCAGGTGCCGCCCCAAGCACCAGCTTGGGTGCCTGGTGCCTGGAGCCGGCCCTGGCTTCCATGCCTTGTTCAGCCTCTATAGAGAGTACATAGAGATTTAGGCCTGGATTCAGCAAGGTATTTAAACATGTGCCTAACTGTAAACCCATGAGTCATGTGTTGAAAGTTAGGTGTGTGTTTAAATACTTTGCTGAATTGGGGTCTTGCAGATATTTTTATTTTAATTTTTAGTCGCCCAACTACCACTTTTCCAGTGTGGGGCGCAGACCAGCTGCCAGGATAAATAACGGCCTATGGGGCCTTTCAGCTGTAGGCTCTTGGTTCAACTCCCTTTCAGGCACAGAGATCAAAAGGCATTCTCTGGTGAGTGGCCGGTTACATGGAATAGGCTGGTCACTGTGGTGTCTATTCCACAACACAGAACTCCCACCACATCTAGCACTAACTTCCACAGCGGCTGGTAGTCGCAGCATGAGGACCATGCTCTGAGCAGACACAGTGAACCAACGAATGAAACTTTTGCCCAAGCGGGTATCACTCCAGGTCAGGACTACAGCATACTGGCTGGGCAATTCGGGGAAGCTTGCACAGACACTGCCTTTGTGCTAGTCCTGTTCTGTAGATTCAGATTTCAGCTGCCAAGTCTCTCAAGCTTAGGGTGACCAGATGTCCCGTTTTTAAAGGGACAGTCCCGTTTTTGGGGACTTTTTCTTATATAGGCACCTATTACCCCCCACTCTCTGTCCCGTTTTTTCACAGTTGCTATCTGGTCACCCTACTCAAGCTGACACCGTTACAAGCACAAGAGCGATAAAGCAGGGGAAACTGAGTCTTAGGGACATTCAGCCCTAATGTAGGCAGGAGCAATTGCCCTTGCTTCGCATGGCAACAGTCACATATGGTTAGTCACTGAATTTCTTGGGCTAAATTCACTTCTGTTGTAAGTCAATGGAATTCCCTCTGACACGAGTGGTGAATTTGTCCCTTGGTTTTACAATAACTTGCTGACTATGCTGAAGACTTCCGAAGTGAGATTAGTCCGTTTGCCCAGATTAGTGCACTGGTCTCTTCTGGAAGCGTTCATTGTTTTCGAAGACTTGCCTCACTCTTGGTAAATTTTTTTTCAGAACTAAGCCGAAAGCTTCCGCAGTGACATGGAAACTCTGACATTCTGCAAGTTGCTTAATTGAAAAGTCATCACTTTCTTGTGGGGTATGAGTGATAGTCATGAGTGAGGATGACAATCCTGCCTTATCTTTAGATAACTAACGGGTTGATGTCATTGGGAGGCCAGTGTAATAGCCTTTGAAATCAGCTTTCAGGAGCTACAACTCTCAACCTTACTGAAGCTGCTTTGCTGCTTTTGCAGCACAAAACTGCCCTAAAGCCACTGGCCTCAGTCACCGGCAGATTCCCAGTCTTACACCATCCACCTTCTAGTTCCTGCACTGGGACGGTAGAGTGGGGAAGAGGCTCTGTTGTAATAACTGGGCCTACAATTTTACTCTAATTGTGAGCTCAACAGTAAAAAGTGTGTGAACATTCATAAGATGGCACAATCACCTAATAATAATAAACGTTGATGGGGAAAGGTATGCAAAAGAGATCGAAAAACTGAATAAATCCAAACAAAAAAGCCTACTGATATGGTTCAAAGACTATGTTAAAATCATGCTTGGTAAAAACAGAAGATGTGGAACCAGAAATTAATGAACCAAAGTTGGTGTGTTGGAAACTAGGCCTAATTGGTGGACAAAATAATGAGGGGATGGACTTTCAACCCATCACTCCCTTGTTGGTTCCTTAAAGAAAGAGACTTTGGAGGGGAAATACAGAAGAACAGATGGAGACTACTGACCCAAGCTTCACCATCATGGCTGTCACCCTCATCCTTTCCTGGGATCCCAGGCCTTCGTCCCCTGGATCCTGAGAGATGTCCTGACCAGACGGGGCCAGAGAGCTGGATCCAGATGAGGTCGCCAACCTATCAGGTCCAGCTGAATCCCAACCACTACCTGGATGAAACCGGATCAGATTTTAACAACAGCAACGAC